CGCTGATCTTGTAGCCGTTGTCTGTTCGGGTGGCCTTGGTCGCGAGGGCGAAGGCATCGGATCCGGACACAGGCTCTGAGAGACAGAAGGAACCGACGGTATTGGTGGCGAGCTTAGGAAGCCATTCCTTCTTGAGCTTCTCAGATCCATACTTGAGGATGGCCGTGTTGACGAGTGTGTTGTGGACGTCGCACATGACGCTCACACTGGGGTCGACGCGCGCGAGCTCCTCGATGGCAATGATGGCCGATGTGAAGTTCATGCCTGAGCCGCCGTATTCCTCGGGTATCTCGATGCCCATCAGGCCTTGCTCGAAGAGCTGCTCTACTACTGCCGGGTCCATCGCTTCCGCCTCGTCCATGGCTCGCGCCTTGGGCAGGATGGCTTCGTTGGCGAATTTCGAGACGGACTCGCCCATGAGCATCTCCGTCTCAGACAGGTGGGTGATAGGCGTCGGCGGCACATCTGAGATGTCAATCGCTTCCCGGCGGGCGGCAGTGGTTGAGAGGCATCGTAATCTGCGTGGCCATGGTGTTAGTCTCGTATATTGTCGCCTTGGTGGTGTACACATACTGCGGGGCGGCGCGGGCAGCCGGTCGCAGCGAGCGCGACGAGGCAGTAGCAACGCGAGTGAGGGGTCTTATTGAACGTGAAAAAGAAGCCATTTTTGCAATATTGGTTGAGAGTTGAGGAAACGAATGTGGCAGTGGTGAAAGTCAACGACGGAAGCCCGCCGCTCACATGCCGAGGCAGCTTAAAGTTAGCCGGCGCAGGCCGCACCATGCATATGCCATATGTCCGGGGTTGTGGAGAACGCCCGTCACATGTCAGCCGCCACCAACCATTCACCCACTGTGCCGCTGCGCTGCTGCAGAGCCGCATGCGGTCAGATCTCAACTACACAACATCAAGCCGTGGTAAGTGTATTGCAAACTAAATACTAAGCTATAGCCTTGGTCGACAACAAGCAGCGCAAGGGTATATGAAAAGACAGCATGCAAGAAACAAAGAAATCAACTGGTCGTAACACTGACATGACAAGGGAACAACAGCCTCTATTCAACAAGGAAAGCTGCCTTCCAGCTGCAAGAAAACCCCTTCCTATTAAGAATTGTTATATCCGCAACTCCAACTACGCCCCCCCTCGTGGCATCTAGACGCGGTTGTTGGACCCCATGGCAAATCTGCCGGCCTGCATCTGCGCCTTGTACTCACTCAGCTCGGCAGCCTCCTTTTGCTCTTCGGCAAGGAGTGCCTGGGCCTCTTTCCTGCCTGCGCGGCGCTGCTTGATGCAGCAGAAGAGGATGATGATGGAGGCAATGGCTACGAAGCCGAGGATACCGGCGATGATGCCGATCTTGGCGCCCTTGGAAAGGTCGTTGAAGCGGTTCCTGACTCCGTGGGGAGACTTGATCTCTTCGAGGGTCTCGGATTTGCCCCTGTGACTTGTTAGCTCTGTGCTGGATGTTCAACGGACGTAAACTTACTGGATGACCTTGACCTTCTCCCAGTCACCAGATGCGTCCATGCCCTCCCACGAGTACTTGGCAGCCTTGGTGTAGTCTTCCGCGTAGACGGACTGGATCGTCATGATGTAGGGGCTCTTGTCGAAGTCTGTCACGCCACCAGCCCACTCAATAACACCAGGGTCGTTCTTGTTGGGGTCACCCGCAGCCCACGATCCGAGACGGATGTTCATTGGTGTTTGAGGGTAACGAGTGCCGTTCTTAGCCTCCTCCGGGGTGAGTTCCCTGACCTCCTTGTCGTCCACATACCACTTGATGCGGTCCTTCGTCCAGTCGATGGTGTAGTTGTGGTAGTCGTCCTGGGGTGCGAAGCCAAGATCAAAGTCCTTGCCTCGGTCGTAGGTCTCGGTGTCGCCCTTGCCGAAGTAGTTGGTCAGGATCATCTTGTCGTCGCCGCGGAACTCCCAGTCGATCTCGTCGAGCGCCTCGGACTGCAGAATGGCACTGGAGATGATACCCTTGCCGGTAGCCACTTTCATGACTACCTCGAGGCGGCCGAAGAGCATGTAAAAGACCGAGTTCGCCGTGGGAGAGTCGCCGGATCGCTCAATGGCAAAGGTCGCACCCTTCTCGTTCCAGTCGATCTTGCCCTGGTTGGGCATGCGCCAGATCTTGTCGTTGTTCGGGATACCAGTCTTGTTCCAGTTGAAGGTGGCGTTTCCGCCGAGCGCCTCCATGTCGGGACATCCTGTGGTGTTGAGCGGGTTGCCTGTCTACGTCAGTACGTCTGTCGCAAGTAGACCTCAGGGCGCGTACAGTCGGTGTGAGTCTGCGCAGTGGTGGTCGAGATAAGGCCTGCGATAAGCGCAGCCGTGGAAAGGGCGAATGACTTCATCTCGGCGTATTACGATGATCTGTAAGCACGATGTGTAAAGAGCGTGGTAGTGCGCGTAGACCAGACGCGCTGTTGGTGTTTGTAGCAAGGAGCGACTGGGATAGCGAGTGCTGAGTAAAGAGTGGATTCTCGTGACGAGAAAAGGAAAACGAGGGGAAAGTCGTTCAAGGGAGCGTCAGGGCCGCGTTTTAGAGACAGCGTGGTGAAGAGCATTTGGGGTGCTGCCCTGCACGCAGATTTAAGGAGTCGTCTAGTGCACAAATGCTCCCTGCCGCTCGCCATTGGTCGGCCGACCTTAAACTACAAACGGCGCTTGTCGATCCCCGAGAATAGCGACTCTCCTGAGCGCTTTGTGCATTCAATGGCTTGCTGGCTGAGGATCGGTTCATTGAATATTGCACTCGCCTCACTCGCTGTCTGTTGCCGTCGTTTGGTCTCGAGCAGGCCGCAAACGACTCCCCCAGCCGCTTGTGCGACCTCGCGCTATCGTGTCTCACCTGCATACCGCGGGTGGCTTTGCGCCAGGCCGGGAGCCAAGGAAATTGTGAAACCACCAGGCACGCTGCACTGTGACCCTTGAAGCGACCGTCTGCTCTCTGCGCCACTCGCACTGCCATGCGATATGCCGCTGCGATAGCGATACGATGTGGAGCACGAATCCTAAACGCTTAATGGATCCGCATCGTCATGGCCCACCATTGCCGGCCTGCGCGCCACTCTATACGAGCCGAATTGCCGTGCTGCGTCCTGAGGGAAAAGGCCGTTTGACCGCGCCAAAAAGAGTCCTTCACCCGTCTGTGCTTCTTCTCACACAGTTGTACCCTGCCGAGCCACCTCGTCCAGAGACCTCCTCTCGGCGTCATTACGCTCTCCGTGGTTTCCATCTATCGTATCCGGGATTTCTCTGCCATCGACCGCCGGCACGAAGAACTTGCCCCACGCAAATGCAGGACCGTCCATGGCAAACTTGCCCTGCATGCGCCAGCGGCCCATGTACACGTTGAGTGCGACGAGGACTTTGGCGAGACACGTCCAGTCGAAACCAAAGTACAGCCCTGCTCTTCCATCAGAGACGACGTACTTGTGCCAGATACCCCAGAGAACGATGTATTCGGCCTGATCTCCTATGTCGCCATCGTCGACCGTCATCCGATGCCATTGCAGCAACGCTCGCATGACTTCATTGCACGACTCCATGACCTGGCGCGGCGAGCGCGAGTGGATCACAGCCAGCGTTTCGTATCGACAGCCAGTCTGCAGGAGCTGTATACACAGGAGCGCCTTCTCCATGCGACTCATCGAACCCGAGCTCGCGATGAAGCCTGCATTGCTCAGCCACTCTTTGATCGCACGCAGCTCGTGAAGCTTCATGTAATGCAGATAAGGCAAAACGAAGCGAGCATCCTCGATCCCTTGCATCGTCATCTCAGTAATCATGAAGCCGTTGCAGCTACCCCGTCGCTCTTTGTACGGGTTGCGCAGAACAGGATCCATGTTGGCCTCCTCTTCTTGTACGCGCAGCTTGACTTCGTCTCTCGGTTGCGGGAACTTGAGGGGATGCGTTGTAGGTAGGTGTAGACTTTCCGAGCATTGCGACGGCGCTCCGTGGATGATGAGACGCGGTAGTTGTCTCAGCGCCTCGAATGCGTTGGCGCGTCCTGCTCTCTGGACTGCAACTGGCGGTTGTATATCTCCGACTGGTAGGCCACCGGACATGAGGTATGTATCTTCGTAGTGGTCGCCTTCAACAGACCGTCCACGCACGTCAAGAGCGTCATCAAACGCCTGCTTCTCTTCCTCCGCCTCCCCGCGAACATACGCTTCAACCTTTCCATTATCCGTCGACGTATTCCTCCTCCCTCCATTCTGCGGGCCCGATATCCTGCGCAACTTCACGCCGGTATCGCCACCGCCCTTCGGCCCTCTCAACCTCTCTTCAAGCTTCACCACATTCTTGTACGACCGCCAAGCATGTCTCTTCGCATCTTTGACCAGTGCCTCAATCTCATCTCCAATTTCGCAGTATAGATTCGCATCGAGCTTTTCTAGATCGCGGTGTGCACTCTTCAGTTCGCGCTTGATCTCTGTAACGCGGGTGACGTTCGATCGTTCGTGTTCGGTGAGGCCTTGGAGCCATTGGATGTAGCTGCTGACACCGCGTACGTAGTCTTTTATATCGTCTAGTCTGTCTGGGATCGTGCCGACGGAGGGGTGGGGTGCGTGACGGCTTTTCGGCGCCGTTGTGCGCTCCGTCGATTGTGGTACCTCTGCAGTGGGCCCGGAAGTCCTTCCTGCATTTGCAGCCGCAGCCGCATCCGTACCTGCATCTGCGATTATCGACCGGCGTGGACTGAAAGGATTGTAGAATCGGCCCATTGCGCTTTCTAATGGCTACGCATGTCGTGGCATGTTTCTGTCGTAGACCCCAGGTGGCCACTGCCAAAACGCTCTTCGCTTCGTGTACCCTTAGAGATCCACCTTTCGTCATTTGTATGGAAGAGCATCTGGTTGGCTCCGCGATCTTCTTCGGACACTAACACAATTGCGCGGCCAGTGGACGCTAATATTGACCAGTATAGCAGCGCGCTGATTGTTTTGATTAAGACTACGGTTCAGAATCAAGATGACAAGCTAAACATCTATTTCCTCCCAACAACATCTCTCAGCTCAGTCCGCGGCCTAACAACCGGCTTCACTTCCCCCCTCACGCGCGTCCTCTGCTCCATCGCATACGCCAGCCCAACAATCTTCGCATCCCTCCACTTCTCCCCCAAAAAACTAAACCCAAACGGAATACCCGGCGCCGACCCCACCAACCCATCCGGATCAGTCACAACCGGCTGCTCATCCCCCATAGCCCCCATCGGTATACTCACAACCGGTGTCTCAGCAACAGCAGCAAAGGACCACGCGAACTTCGACGGCAAAACAACAGCATCAAGACCGTGCCGTTTTATCGTTCCAAGCAGTCCTCCTTCGTTGTCATAGTACAGACCTTTTTGGTACGCCTGCCAGAATTCTGGAGTCGTGTTGTTCCAATTCTGCAGCGCGAAATCCCAGACTCCGGTTGATTTGGCTGGGTAGCTTTCTAGTGGGCTTTGGCGTGTCCAGGCGCGGAGCTCGAGGAGGGTGGAGATGTTGTGCGGGTTGTGGGTTAGTTGGTTGAGGTAGGATTCGATGTTTACGACGAAATCGGCGGACATGATTTGTAGGGCTAGGAGAGTGTCGTTTAGGAAGGCTTGGGCGGCTGGGAAGTCGGTTTCTAGGATTTTGGCGCCGGATGAGCGGAGGATGTCTAGGGTGGAGTTGAAGGCTGCAATCATGGAGTCTGTTGTGTTGTCCGACATGAGGCTGATGACGTTGCGAGGTACGCCTAGTCGTGCGCCTTTGAGCGCGGAGCGTTTGCAGGCGCCGACGAAGTCTTTGTCGACGTTATCTGGAATGGCAGAGGTGTAGTTGTCGTATACGTCGGTGCCTACGATGCTTTGGAGGACGTAGGCGGAGTCTTTGACGGTTTTTGTTAGGGGGCCGATGGTGTCCATGCGCTCGCTGATTGGTATCACGAGGTGCCGAGATGTAAATCCAACGGCTGTTTTGAGTCAGCTGGTGATCAGATGCTACGACCAGTTACGCGTACTTGGCTTCATTCCCACGACATTGTTGACACTGGCGGGGTCGATAATCGAACCATAAGTCTCGCCACCCAGGGTAACGGTAGCCAAACCAAGCCTTCATCATCAGTCGGTATCTACACGTTGGTGACCTTACTCACGAAGCTGCAACGGCACTTCCACTGGAACTACCAGACGGATCTTGATGAGGGTAGAAGGCTCCGTATGTCTGTCCGCCATACGCTGACCAGCCGTTACTCGAGTCCCATGCTATCCTAAAGCTGCCCCATTCGCTGGGATTAGTCTTCCCCAGGATGATGGCACCTGCCTCTCTGAGCTTCTTCGCGATGGTCGAATCAGATGGAACCTTAGCTCCGACGAGCGCGTAGGATCCAGCTGTGTTGTTCATCTTGTCTTTCGTGGCGATCTGGGATCGGAGTTAACTTCCTAGGAATGCAGATACATGTTGCTTCAGTCGAAGTGAAGTACCCACTGTGTCTTTGATGAGTATAGGGATGCCATGCATCGGTCTATAAGTCAGCGGATGTCGTGAGTATCGTAAACCTTTTACTCACCCTCGCACCGCTCCGCTCGAGCGCTCTTCATCAAGTGCAGTCGCTATTTCCAGCGCATCAGGATTGATCTCGATGACTGGGCGCAAAATATCGTTCACTTCATTGATACGAGCGATGTACGTCTGTTTGGCAGCGTTAAGCAACGAATTCAGGGATGGTCTTCAATGACAGCAACTTGCCTTCACAAGATCCAGACTAGTAAAATGATTTCGCTCCAAGCCCTTCGTCACCGCCTCGATATCGGCTTCGTACAAGCTCGGGAACTCACCTCTTCCGGCACGTTGGTTGAAGTACCAGCCTGAGCCTGCGCCGCCGATGATCAATGCGCCTAGGAGAACTCCGTAAACCATTCTCTGCCAACGACCACGCCGATGAGCAGTGTTATTGCGGGATTTGTCTGTGGGTATACGATGATATGACGGGTTCGCAGGGGCGCAGTAGTTGAGTAGTCTCTCAAGCGGATGCGGTAGCCACGACTTGGTTGGTGTGTCTCCGGTATGCATGGGATGAAGTGGCTCGGTGGAAGGCTTATAGTATCGACTGTGACAACATTTCTCTGCAGCTTACATACCGCCACGTTCGAAAAAGCCGTATTTGGTCATGTCCTAGAAGTTGGTGCTCAGCTGCGGCCTCGGGGTGGGAGCGGGTGAATAGCGCGGAGTTCGGCCCCGCACCTGCACGACGATGATGGTAGCAGATCAATGTATCGCAGCTTCCTTCCTACAACCTCACCTTGTACAAGAAGAAAACCACACACCCTAGAGCCTACGTTGAGGCTTGGCCACCTACTTTGCATGTTTTCATCTTGATGTATGCTTCAGGGTGTTCAGTTTTTCCCTTGCATCCAAACCCCTCCGTCGTCGCCGCATCAACATGAGTGGCTGTCAGACGTGGTTAGTACTGATCAGTCGTTATTTACATCACGTTTTGCGCTTCTCCTGTAGGACGAACACTTTCAACTAACTTAGCATAGCAAAGCAAACATATCCAGTTTTGATCTAGTCTACACTGTTACTTCTCTTCGCCTTCATCGCTGCCTTCATCGCTGCCTTCATCGCCGCCTTCACCTTAGCCGTCAATCTCATCTTCCGAATCTTCGTAGACAAACTCTGTTGTTGCGTAGTAGTCCAAATGCCAGCTTTCGAGTTCCTCCTGGCTCGGCCAATGCTTCAGTTGTTTCCAAGCCGACGTAAGCGATTCAAACCTGCCCATTTCTAACGGATAACCAAGGAGTTCCGGAGCAGCGAGTTCGACCGAACTCGCTATTCGCTGCCAAGCTCTTCCATGCCCTCCTGATTGATTGACGTCCTCCTCCCACGAGTCTGAGACGTTTTTGCAATGGCAGGCATAGTGATCTAGATATGCGTGCACGAGCTCGTGAAGGATGGTGGCTAGGCGATACAAGGCCCGCTCGCTCAGGTTACCATGGCCTCCCACTTTGACATAACTGAAGGCACACATACGGAGTCCAGGATTCTTTTGCCAACGTTCCGTGTATTCTGCAAGTTCCTGTGGCATGTGCCTCCAATCTTCCCACCCAAAGCCCACTTCCATCTTAGCGTCCGCTGACGTTGTGGGAAAGAACATTCCCGAGAGGATGTCAATCAGCATCTTCATCTCTTTCTCGGAGACATCCTTGCCATCCTCGTGCCCTAATCTTTGTAGCAAAGAGGTCTCCGACCTGTCTCCACCCAAGTTATTCCAAGCATTGCTTGCTTCATTCTGTTCACCGCTGAATCCGGGTTTGCCTAGTTTCATGCTACGCTGGATCTCATCAGCAAGTCGAAGAGCATGGTGACCTCCTAAGCGTAAGGGCGCTCGCTCTCGATATCCTGATTCACCTTGGGTTCCCTTGGCAGCAATGTCTCCCCCACATGAGCGCCCACATGGGTGCTGGTCCGCCAAACGCTGCGATTTCCTTCTCTTTCCGAGCTCGACAACCATAGCGAGAAACTCATCGGGCGTGCCAGGTGGGCCTCTGCGGTGCAGTAAATCGGTGGAGACCATATTTGTACTGGACTGTGTGGCCTTACGTTGAGCTTTTGTGATCGTATTGTCAACGCTATTAGGCTTGTCTCGTCCTGGTTTCTCTGAACCTTTGCGACAGGCTTGTATGACCGATATATAGTATTGGCGACAGAAATTTGGTCTTGCACATGACGTCTGGACAGCTTCCTCATTGCTTGTGACCCCAGCTTGCGACATCTTCCACATGCTCGTCACAATGGTAAGGCCTTGAGTGTTCGAGAAGCAAACATATTGGCGTGCCTTCGCACTGTGTCAACGTGACTTGCTGAGGAAGACCCCTCTGCTTACCAAGCTCAACATAATCTCCAGTATGTACATTTACAAGCGTCTTCATCGTGAGCGAGACAGGCGTCAGGTCATCCGCACAGATACCAACGATCAGAGACACGCGAAAAACGCCACAGGACAGTGGTGCTTTTGCCTATACAGCAATCAACGATTGATTCACTAACTAAGCCGACACATCAAGAGGTTCAGTCTCCCTAACACCCTACATTACCATCCGTTCCAAATCCCACTCTTTAACTTCTTGCTGAGTTGGCCAATATAGCGGTACGCCCCAATTAGCTTGTATAGAGGTGAATCTTCCCAGAATTAGTGGTAGGTGAATGAAGCGAGGAGCATTGTGTTCCACCGAGCTCGCAATCCGCTGCCACGCTAGTCCGTGTCCCTGAAGTGATTCAACATCTTTCACAAACGATGGGCATCTACAAGCGTAGATACCCAGATATGCGTGTACCAGCTCGTGAAGAAGAGTGCCAAGGCGTGACATGGTTCGCTCAAATAGATGTCCGTGGTGCGAAGCAGCCATGTAGTCGAAAGCCGACATCTCAATTTTGGTGTGCACATTGCATGTGTAACGGCCAAAAACTCTGTCGTTACAAGTTTTCCATTCGAAGTCAAGCTCCATCTGGTATTCGCGGAAGAATATTGCTGACAAGAGCTTCATCAGATACTTCATCTGGTCCTTGGTGACGCTGCTTGCATCAGACCACCCCAGTCTTCGCAGTAGAGCGCGCGGTGCTTTGTCCTCTACCAGTTCTTTGAAGGATGCGATCGCTTCTAGCTGCTCGTCATTGGCAAACTCAGGTCCTTCTAACATGATAGCTTTAACTTCGTCGGAAAGTCGAAGAGCATGATGGCTGGTCTCTCGCAGTGGGTCGCGCTTACGTGTTTGGTTTCCCAGCTTGTTGATGTACTTTACAGCGCGGATGGCTTTGTCACAGGGATTGCGGCATTTCTCATGGTTTATACAGTTCTCGAACCGCTGTAGACGGGTTTTGTTGTGACGATCGATGATCATGTCGATGTATTCCTGTGGCGTCTTCGGATATTCAACGTCGAGAGAAGTTATAGACATGTTGTATGCATCGCAAAGCTGTCTACACATGATGAATTGGTTGCGTCACTTCTCCAGAGACTGGCTGAGCGGCTTGTTATTTGTTGAGCTACTTGCTTGTGATGACATCGTGTGGTGGCTATATACATACTGGGCCGTAAAGTCTTACGATACTTAAGACATCCCAAAGCTCGGGCACAGCAGGTCGCACCAGATCGAGACATTGGATTTCTACAGTGGTGTGAATCAGTCGTAAACACATGATTCGAAACTCTGAGAGACTTCCTCTCGCGAGTTTTACAACTGGAAAGGTCTAGAGCCGCGTACCACAGAAGTCGTGAAGAATAGGCCATAATCACAAACAAATAGGCAAACAGATCTTAACATGTGGAGGAAGAACTATTTGCTCCTTGTTCAGCCTCTACCCACCACCGAAAACTCTACTATGGCTTCAAATGGACACGGCATCGCTCATCCTACCGTAGCACCCCTAACAGACCCTAGAGCACTCTTCTACCACCTTCTTCTAGCCCAAACATTCGACAAACGATGCCTCTGCGACTCCGAGGGCTGCGCAAAATATCTCTACCTGAATCACCCCTACACCTGCTTTTCATGCCCATCCCCCATCAAAATCGACATCCTGCCTTGCGTCCGACCCCACATCATCGTCATTCCCCGAGAGAGACATTATGAAGCCCTCCAATTAGCTCGCAGCTCCATCCGGTACTTCAGCAGACCAAGGCCTGAGATGGATATGGCGCAAACCCAAGCTGCAACGGAGATAGGCAGATGGCTTCACGAGCGAGGTCTGATCGCGAAGCTTGGGGCACCTGATCCACGTGACACCGTGCCTGTCGACGAGATGAGAACACTGATTACGCATCTGCTATCTGTTTTCTTCTTCGGTGCAGCGGTCCGGTTTGAGTTCACTTGGGAAACGACGGCCTTGGACACGAACGACTTGCTCGGCGTCACTGAGGTGAAGGATCGTGGTGGCCAGGAAGTCGAATGCATTGCTATGCATGCTATAACGGTCACAGCGATCGTCGGCCTCTCCCCTGACTACACCATAGCTCTAGCCACACAACGGCTTTCCACGTTGATGCATGAGCTTATTCATGCTGTGCTTAGGGCACTTTGTTATAAGGATTGCTTTGCTTCGCATGAGAATCTAGCGCCCCATGGGAGGGCGTGGCAGAGGTTAGCAATGGGGGTTGAAGAGGTGTTTGCAAGGTTGTTTAGATTAAGACTTGATCTAGGGAGGATGCAAGGTGTGTTGAGTGATATGTTGGATCAGGGGACTTGGTTCAACCACCCAAGTCGTCATGATTTGGAGGTGTATGGGTTTGTGAATCCGTTGGAATGAAGAGTGCGCCTCTGACTCAAACTGCGATCTGGTCCTGATTCGGGCTGGTCAATGAGATGGTACTTTGGAATACGGTTGGATGAACGAAGGCTGCGGGGAACTGGCTAATTTGATATCGATGCTGTCATAGCAAATGGGGTCATGCTTGCAGGTGCCAATGTGTCATCCCGGCTGTTGCGGATTGAACGTAGGATGGAGGACCTCAGGAAAGGGATTTGAAGGGATGATCGCGCACTGGCCTTTTCTTGGCGTGCATGACTAAGCGAGACGCGAGAATGACGCGGGTCTCGCAAGGCACACGAAGCATCACAAACATCGCTATCGACCTAGACACAGGTCCGCCTGCGCAAGGCCTGCTATTTCGCTTTCATTCTATCGATGTCTATGTATCTATCGCGATAGCACCGCCTCTCTTTCTCGTCGCACCGGCACTCCGGCCTTTGTGCCTTCCGCATGGTGAAAGGGAAAACGAAAGCCAGCTCAAGCTACTGCGCTCGTTACCCAGATGTCGAACGTCGAGCTTCAGCCAAACCTACTACAGCACTACCTCGACGATGGGCCCGACATATGTCTTTCTACCTCCTACGAAATACCATATAACGGCAAAGAGTACGGTTCCTCCAAACGTGACTGAGCTGAAGTTCATCGACTGTGCATTGACCTCAACGGAACCTGGCCAGAACGAGAAGAACCACATCACAAACAGGTATATGCAGGCGAAGATGTTGTTGGCCACGCCCAGCATACCGGGAACTCTCCATGGACCCCATTGCAGTGTCTCCGGTCCGACCATTGCGGCACGCGAGTTGTACGGGCTGATACCCTTGAGACGCCGCCAAAGGAGAAGGACGCATACGATGAAGTATGAAGCGTAAAGGCCGCCGATACTGAGGTTGACGATGTTGCTGAAAGCGACGAAGGAGCCGAGCGCGATGAACGACAGGAGCACGCTAACGGCAGCTGTGATAAGGATCGTGTTGACCGGGATCAAAGTTGCAGGATTGAGCTGATACAATCGTCAGCTACTCTAAATTTCGAATCGCTATACGAGGACGAATTGAAGGGGTCATACCTTAGTGACCTGCGCTGAGAACGGCACGGCTCTGTCTCTTGCGAAGGACCACATCTGCCGCGAGGTTGCGGCCATGAGACCTACCAGGCAGCAGACTCCAAGAAACCACATGATCAATGCCATGGCCATAGCCCCGCCCGGAGATCCAGTGCCTTTCAAGAAGACATAGAGGTAAGCATATCCAAGAGTGACTGAGTTCTCCAAAACATCATTCAGGTCCCCCAGGCAGAAGAGGTATGCGACCATCATAGCAAGTCCAAGTGCGCCGTTGAGGAACACGCTAATCTGGATGGCTCGTGGCACTACCTTGGATGCGTTCTTTACTTCTTCAGCCATCTACACGCACGTCAGCTCCTTGGATCTCGGCCAATTCGGGCGAATAACATACATGAACACATGAGTCGACACCTGCGAGGAAGGGTCAGTATATTCATTCTTATTTTCGCCGAACCTGCATGACATCATACTCACCGACAAGCGCGAATATCGATGATGGTAGGCCTACCATGAAGGACAGGCCCTGGGTTGACCAACCCCCCGTGTTGACAAATGTGATGAAGATTGATGCGTCGTTGTGAGGAGCGAGATATACGAGAGGAATCAAGATCGCAAAGAACCCCAGGATATGCAATATCAATATCACGCCTTCGAAGTGCGCGAGGGTCTTGCTCCCGATAGTATTGATGACAACGGCAAACGCGGTCACTGCCCAACCGAGCAGCATGGCTTGGTACGGTTTGGGGGAGTAGTCGTCGTGGAGGATAAGAATCACGCTCTGCAGTATTGTTCCAGCTAGGTACGCTGAAGAAGCAGTGGTTGCTTGCCAGCCTATCAACGTCACCCATCCCGTGATATAGCTCAGAAACTTTCTGGATGACGGTGGAGCCAACATTGCAACCCAACTACGATCCATCAGTAAACAAGCTTAGTCGACGCACAAGAGAGACTGCTTACTGGTATTGTCCACCTGCGGTAGGTGCCATCGAAGACAACTCAGACAGGACGGTGTAGATGGAGATTGAACCGATCCAGATGAGGAGATAGCCCCAGAAGACACCAGCAGGACCACCGTTCAGGAGACTTGGGGTAGAAACCCTGCGGCACTGTTAACAACGCATAGCAGTCTATCATTCTGACATCGAACTTACGACAGGATACCTTCCCAAGTCACCAGGACGGTACAGGAAAACCCCAAGATTTGCATGAACCCGAAGGTTCGCTTCAATTGCGGCTTCTTACCCAGACGAATGAGATCTCTCTCATCTCGAGTGTAGCCATCATGATCGGCGTCTTCGACGGCGGAACTGACTGCTTCTGCTTTCGTTCTGTTACCGAGCTCCATGGTGGGGGTAAGGTATGCCAAAAAGGAAACAACAGCACCAGATTTGACCGACAGTATGGTGGATGCGACGGAGGTAAATAGTGAGTGAAAGCTATTAAACCCGCACTGTAGCAGCCTCGCACTCAGATGTCGGTTATGCAGAGATTCATCCAGATTGTTTCGCTAAGCGCATCGAGCAGGTAACATACTGTGCCGCAACTTCTGTCGTACAGCATGCCGCGCGGGGATCTTGATAGCAGGGTCTACATGACGCCTCGACACTTTTTCACCGTACGCAAGTCAGCGATGTACTTACGAGACCCTCTTTATCCACATTGCGCGTACATATCGCGAGTACTTTCAACAGTCTGAAAGACATGCTGTACACTGCGCAATCTGTCGCCGACTTCTCTATCCCCCCAGCTCAACAATCTTACTCTCCCCTCGATGCGGGGATCCTTACTCAATACGCTTCCTGTAGGATCCGGGTGGAAGTGACCTAGTTGCCGCGGATGTTACCGTCCCGAGCGTTATCAACGTTGGCTAAGCCTCAAGCGTGTGGATCAGCCGCTATGGTCGCACAAATACCCACGACATCAACAGGTCCTTCGTCTTTACCTTCCTCTTTTCTCACGCAACAGCATCTCGACAGGGTCTTCATGTGCGTTGTCCTGCGTTTGATTGGTGATGCGACTGCGCGGATGCGGCGCGGATCGTTTAACCGACCTATTACACCGTGCCAAACGTCTTGATGCTTGTAAAGCGTTCCGAAAGCTTGTCTCGCTGGCTATCACCAGATAAGTAATCAGCCCGTATCCTTGACATCTTACGCGTCGTGCAATATGCAGGTCAATGAAAGAAGCCAGAGACTCGTATGTGTGCGTGGGGGTGGTGCTAGCTAACTGGTGTACATCAAGAATCCTACGAGGGAGAAGAGTTGGAGATGAGTGTATCAGTATGTTATAATGTTGCTTCGGCCTTGAGATGTCCGTGAGCACCATGCGATTCCTGGGTGTTGGAACGAGGCACAGATAACGAAACGGGGGAGTTGTCTCCTTCGAATTGGGCTATATCCTGGTGTGCACGCTGCTCGAATGGTAGTACCATCTCAGTTACTGCTAGAAGCTGAACTCCACCATGATTTCTGAACGTAAAGCTATGGATGCTGGCAAGCGTCCTGCCTTCCACGACGGCCATGCAGCACCGCTGATCCAAATCCTCGCCTGGCTGTTCCTAGCTTTCTCCACACTAGCTGTTGTAGCGCAATTCGCGACGAAGAAAGCCATGTCTAGGCGACTGGTAGCTGCGGATTTTGTTCTGTTAGCGGCTCTGGTGAGTATTCTGGGATTAAGGCAGGACACAGACACACTGACGAGTCTCTTCCTAGGTGTTGTCGGCGGGACAAGCCGCGACGCTTCTCAGTCCTGCTGGTCAGGCCATCGGTAACTTACAGTCTGACCTTACGACAGATCAGATTGATGGAGCCTGGAAGGTAAAGTAGGCGAACTTCCTGGAATGCGGCGCTGAACATATCAGGCTTTATTTAGCAGCGAGATTCTTAGCGTTCTCACGATCGTTGCCGCCAAAGGCTCGCTACTCGTCTCTCTGACGTTGGTGACACCCGTTGCTAGTCATCAGAGGATGATGTATGCCACTGGGGTTGTGACGCTGCTTTGGGGGTTTAGTGCCGTTTTTCTCATCGCCTTCCAGTGTCCGTCACCACGAAGATGGGATATAACCAACCCAGAGTGCATAGATCTTGTAAGTTCAGCCGATGATATTGCCGGTTCTACGACTCGAACTGATGGATCTAGCGCGCCGTACGAACCTACAATGCTGCCATGAACATTATAACCGACCTTGCCCTAGCCATCGTACCTACAATGATGGTGCTACCGCTGCAAATCACATCCGATAAACGCCTTACACTAATCACAGGCTTCTGGTCACGCATAGCGTAAGTAAAGTCTTACCAACATTAAGCTTGCACTAACAGAAGGTCCCGCAGCGTCATATTTGCCTCGGCCGCCCAAATCGGATACATCCACACCCTACCCCTACCCAGCGACCTCCTCCATTCGATATGGCGCATAGTCGTCTGCGGACAAATAGTGCAAGTGACAAGTATCATGACTGCGACGATTCCCTTCCTGAAGCCTTTCATGATGAGTCTCGACTCAGGTTTACTCAGCGCAAACCAAGCGTGTGTTGCGACGACATCCGGCTTTACCTCTACAGGGCATACGGGCCAATTATCGAGCTACATCAAGATTGCTAGTCAGGGCAGTCGCAACCCATCTTCTACGAAAGGAGATAAGGATGCTGATATCTGGGTGCGGAAGGAGGTCGTAGTGAAAAGAGAGCCGAGTATCGAGTTACATGATATGGGAAAGAGTAGGTAACGCAGGATCGCCGAAGAAGGGTCATATGTCGTAGCCATCTTCAGCTTCCGCGTTGCACTAGATGTTCTGTTGCGAGCAGTATCAGAGCCTCGTACTCTCTCGATTACGAGAGAATATGCTTCGCCTCCGGGCCACTCTTTGTCGCGCGCAAGGCGCACCTTCCATTCACCTTCACTCGCACGCGACGCACGACCGTTCCACAAGATCCACCCACCTAGGCAGCGCTTTCCCCACGCGCAAACGCTCATCCAAGCGGTGACGTAAATACACCACCGCGCTCTCACTTCCTCAGTCAAAAAAGCTCCTTCCACCTACTTCCACCTGGCTCCCACCTTCCTTCCTTCCTTGCCTCCCACGCCAAATCAACCTAACCACCACCACTCACTCAAAACCATGCGCTTCCTCACCACCTTCTTCCTCCTAGTCGTCAGCCTCGCCGCTCTCGCAAGCGCGAACAACGACAAAAAGAGCGACGTGAGGAACTTCAGGGATGTCGTGAAAGATTGCGTTGTCGCGTGCAACTACGGTCCTCACTGCGCGCACTATTGCGAGTGCAAGGTGTACAAGCTTCTAGGCAAGAACATCAAGTGTAACAATGATCCAAGTATGTGAAACAGCTGATACCCCGCGGCAGCCATGGAGTGGGAGTTTGGATATTTTGCTAACACAGATTCTAGCGTGCAAGAAGCCAGGGCCTAAAGGTTGCGAGACGTACGAGCTCAGTGGCAAAGTTCGTCGAGACGAAGATACTTCTGCGGCTGTTGACCAAGCTGCGTCCGCGACTGTTGACCAGGCTTCGTCCGAGACTGCTACTCAGGTCGACCCCGGAACCATCAATTACAACCAAGACGCTCCCGAGGACTTTGTTCAGACTGCTGATGTCAACGGCGACGACAACACCTGCGAGACACAGGGCTGCTCCGAGGCCTTGCCGTATTGCCTCAAGGCGTGCGGCTTTGGTCCCCATTGCGAGGGTTACTGCGCCTGCATGTTGCACTCGAACCCGAAATCAATCTGCCGCCAACAAGGTACGTGATAACACTCTAGCTCAGCGAGAGCTTCATTCCAATTCTATCTATACTAACTCTACCACAGGCTGCGTCGAGGCTCCTCAAGAATGCGATCAATGGGAGTTCACCGACCACGACATTGCTCTTGCTGGCCCGGAGACTGCCGACTATGAGCAAGTCGCTGCCGCTGCCAACGCTCGGGAGGGAAGCGACGACGACGACGTTAACAGCGAACACTGCAAAGCTTGCCGCGATGCGGGGTACGAATGTAGCAAGAAGTGCGGCGCCGACGATATGATCTGCAAGGCTCTATGTTTGTGCGCGAGCACTGCGGAAGATAACTGCGGCAAGTGCAAGTCCGTCGACTGCCCCCGCACTTAAGACGGAACGGTGTCGAGCGTCGATATGAGGGACGATGGTAATTCGGACCACGATGTTGGAAGCTAGATGAGACTGCGGGTTTTCGGGTTCACGTCCGAAACTGGAGGCGGTCTCTGGTCTTCCGCCCAAAATGTATCTCGATCTTCGTGATCTGATATCTAATGACATGCTTCCTTCTCGGTCATCATCTTGTTTCACATGCGTGATGGGTAAAAGTGCGCGGTCGTTCTTGAGGTACCCGTAATAGTCGTTGTGATCGCAGTGAAGCTCATTCGTCTCAGGGTGGTTGGAAGAGCTGGGCCCGAGTATGGAGTCGCATCTCGATATGTGAGGTCGATGCAACGTGCCGATCTTTCACTTGATGGGCTTCCTCGCGTAGACGACTGTCCCAGGTAGGTACGCATGAGTCCGGTAGCTCTTCAACTCCTTGCGCATCTGCGCTAGATGCAGTTGAGCTCGTGCAACAGACCACTGCATCATGTCAGCTTAATCCACCACACCAACATCAGCAATACTCACACCGCCAACCTGCGTCAACAACCTCAACATGAACCCCTCAACCCCATCCATCAACCTCAACTGATTCCACCGCCCAATATTCTTCAGCTTCTTATCCGTCGGCCACCCATTCATCGGCCACTTATACTCCATAACCTGTACATCCACAAACCCGGCTCTTCGTATCCTCTCAGCACTCTGCTCCCAAATCGTAAACGTCTTGCCGAACCGATCGCCCATCTCCACCACCACTTTCCCCCAGGTATGGTAGAAGTGGTCTGGGCCCATTGAGCCATCATCGGATGTAGGACACACGGAGTGCTCTACTATTTCTATCCAGCCGCCTGGTTTGGTGTGTTTGTAGGCTTGCTGGAAGAAGAAGTCCCAATCTGGGATGCAGCCGAAGAGCTCGCGGATGTGGATGAAGTCGAAGTGGTTGGGCGGGAAGGTCCATTCGAGTGACACGTCGTCGATTTCGAAGTGGCAGTTTGGCGGGACCCATTCGGGTTGGATGGGGGAGAGGTCGGTTCCTGTTACTGTTGCTGAGGGGTATTGGTCTGCCATGTCCTTTTTACATGTTAGCTAGGTTGGAGGATATTTCTGGAGAGCGTACAATTGCCCATATGCCGGTTCCTGTGCCGCAATCTAATATCGTCTGCGGGTTTACCAGCGGCGCGAGGTGCAGCTTCTGGTCGAGCGTCAGGAGGTACATGTGGTGCGCGAAATCCAGTATCTCCTTGGCCAGCTCGTCATTTGGTCCCCAGTATGCGCCGTCGCGGTATGCGTGGTACTGGCGTCCATTCTCCATGCGGTGGTGGAGGATGGACGAGGCTAGCGAATCGGTCTCGTCGCCAAGGAGGCTGCCGCTGTCGAAGGCTGAGTCGGACGAGAAGCCAAGGCCATCGTCGTCGTCTACGGGGGAAGCTTCGGAGTCTTGTGGCGCTGCGTGGTGTACGGGGGCGCCTTGTTGTGGGTACGAGGAAGAGGAAGGCGCGTCGTCTCCTAGATGCACGGCGCTATCCTGCTGGTGCAAGCCGATGCCCTCGAAAGGCTTCTGCGAAGATGAAGACGCCATGGTGCTGTCGTGTGAGTGCGCGGCGAGGAGGAGTGGGAGATATCGACGCGACGCCCGGAAACGACGGGTTACATATTGGAGAGTTGGAGCCGATGCACTGGGAAGTTGCTGGACGCTGGCCGGCCGCTGACTCTCGTTTGGAGGCGTCTGTCAATGGGCGAGGGGTCTCTGGCAAAGTGGAGCATTGCACCGATGGCGCCGCGTTCGCGCAGCATCCCCGAGTAGATCCAGCGGATCGGTCGTCTGCTCCGGTCGCTGCCATTCGTTGATGCGCGTGTAATGCACGCGCAAAAGGAACGGTGCTGCATCGCCTGCATGGCTGTTAGAGGCGTCGGGGTAAGCGCGTGCTGGCGGCACTCTACCGACGTTGTACGAAGACTCTGGGTGTCCGAGGCAGTCAAGCCATTGGCGAGCCTGCCAACAACGTCAAAAAGGAGGGTGTCGATGAATGCATCTCGTGATTGATGGCCTGGCTCATTTGCGGGCCGCAAACGGCGTCATTCCCTTCATCGCCGCTGTCTAATCGGCCCTTTTGGCAGGCGGGACGGGTTGGAGAGGGTGGGCCAAGAGCACCTCTACAGTGGATACTCGAACTTTGTTGTAGAAGACGAAGAACAGGTTGAGAGTATGACCAAAGTCCATCGATGATCTCAGGCGACTTGACATGGAAAAACCAACTGCCGACGGCGAAGCCATTGCGGCGCAGCTCCCTTACATTATTATTGGCTCTGGTAAGCGACGGTGACGCCGCATACATGCTGCACCACACGGTCTGACCAGCTCGCAGGAACCGCTGGACTTGCACTCGCACAGGGGCTCCGCAAAGTATGTACACCGTCTGTGTAATGCAAAAGAGTAGCCTCATTCGAACAACTAGGCGAATATCCCGTGCGTCGTGTTCGAGAAGAACGCTGCCACGCATGGCGAGCGCGACTGGAACATGGGCCTTCACTGGGGCGCGCCAGTCCTGAAAAGCCTCATGCCAGATGGCTGGTGGGACCGCATCCAGAGCGTCCAGGTCGACCCGAATGTCCCCACGAAAGAGCAGGACACGTTGAAGTGGCTGCGAGGCGATACCGGAGCGCTGGTCGCAGCCATCACCTTCGGGCCTTTCTACCGCTTACGGAGGAGCAAGTTGCGCGACTTGTTAATGCAAGGCCTTGACATACACTTCGACAAGCGCTTACACGACGTCTCATACTCACCTGATGATGACTCAGTCACTGCCCATTTCGCCGACGGAACCTCGACGACGGGACGCATGCTGGTTGGCGCGGATGGAGCACGCTCTTCCACCAGGCAGATTCTCCTCGGGAGGGAATTGGGCTCCATCAACCACATACCGTATGCGTGCACGTTTGTCCAGTGCAAGTTTACCGCCGAGCAAGCCCGTTTCTTGCGTTCATTCCACCCGCTGTATCTAGCATGTGCGCACCCGAATAACAACTTCGCCTTCTTCGGCATGCATGATGCGCCGGACGAAGATGACCCGACTTCCTGGACCTTCTTCTACTACATCTCGTGGAGAAGTAGTTTGAAAGAGCAGGAAGCCACAAAGAACTGGACCGGTGCCCAGCGCCTCGCGCAACAAAAAGAATTCGCGAAAGAGTTTTGCGACCCGTGGAGGAGTGCGTTTGAATGGACGCCAGACTGCACGCCGGTGTGGTATCTCGGGCTCACGGACTGGGACCCGGGCATGGAGGGCCATCGCTGGGATAACCATCGCGGCTTAATTACTATGGTGGGCGACGCTGTGCATCCGATGACGTACCAGCGAGGTCAGGGCCTCAATCACTCTGTTACAGACGCTGGAAAGTTGTACGAAGCTATCACTAAGATTCAGGCTGGCGAGGACAGGAAAGCTGTGGTTGATGCGTTTGAAGAGGAGATGATTAGGCGTGGGGGTACGGAGGTTAGGGATGGCACGGCAAATACCATGATGCTTCATGATTGGGAACGCGTTAAGCAGAGTCCGCTTTTTACGAAGGGGATGAAGAAGACAGAGGCTTAGGGGTTGGTAGATTTGGTTCTCGCGTTATATCAATGCATCGCGTCGTAGTAATGTACAGTAGCATGAATGAACGGATCTCTAAGCAATCTTGTGATCGCCTCAATCTTAGCAGTCAATGTCTTGTGTCTAAATTGGACGCTGGTGTAATTAAGCCAAGAAGATACCCAGGAGTATATCACAGTGAGCTGCCGATATGCCCGGGCATGGGAGTTGCTGACTGATGGTCGCGGGTTAGCGCGACAGTGCACATGCAGTACTCACGGTCCTCGACATCACACGCAGCTTCATTGATCGTCCTCGACACTTGCAGAGACACGATATCGCGCCGCTGACTCTATCGTGACTCTCCGCGATGATGGGGGTTGTTCTTTCTCAGGAGCCGTAGACCCCTCATCTGGTGTCCAGGGCTCCGGCGAGATGCCTCGGATAACATTGTCCCAACACCATGACGTCGGCCATCCTCGGTCCTAGCTGCGCGATGCGCGACAACGCTCGACATCTACCTTCGTTCTATTCTTGATAGCTAACACTACGACCGATTCCTCGAATAGTGTATTAACCAGCTCAAATTACCTCACCCCGCCTTCCAGTGCTAGAGATCCCGCCCCGAAACGAAGATGACCTCTCCCTCCGAATTCCACGGCTGGCTGGGCCACGATAAGAATGCGGCACAGGGCAACATGACATGGTCGTCCTTCCAACCTAAGCCCTTCAACGCCATCGATATCGACATCAAAGTCTCCCATTGCGGCATCTGCGGCACCGACATCCACACCCTGCGATCTGGCTGGGGCGCAACCCACTATCCCGTATGCGTCGGCCACGAAATCGTCGGAAACGTCGTGCGTGTGGGAGACAAAGTCAAGAACCTGCGCTTAGGCGACAGAGTGGGCGTAGGCGCGCAGGCCTTCAGCTGCTTGAAGGACGACTGTGAGGAATGCAGCGCGGGCATTGAGCAGCATTGTCCGAAGATGGTGGGCACGTACAATGCGAAGTATCCAGATGGAAGCTGGAGCATGGGCGGATATGCAGACTATGTTCGTGTCCCAGCGCATTTCGCGATCAAGATACCCGCTGGGCTGAAGAGCGAAGAAGCAGCGCCTATGATGTGCGGCGGCATCACCGTCTACGCGCCGCTGAAGAACAACGGCGCAGGTCCCGGGAAGAAGGTCGGCATCGTAGGTTTAGGAGGTCTAGGCCATTTCGGCGTCTTGTTCGCCAAAGCACTCGGCTGCGAGAAAGTCGTAGCGATAAGCCGACGGAGAAACAAGGTCGACGACGCAAAAGCTATGGGCGCCACAGATTACATCGCGACGTCCGAAGACAACAAGTGGGCGCGCAACCACAGCCGATCCCTCGACCTCATCATCAGCACAGTCTCCTCACCAGACATGCCGCTCGAGTCCTATCTCCGAC